CGGTAGTAATGTCGCTGTGGTGGAAGCTGTGGCTGTTGCTGCGGCTGTTGCCTCTGCTTCTGGCTGCTTCTGGTGGCTCTTGTGCAGCTCCTGGTGGCAAGCGCGACGGCATTTTGTGCCCTCGTCCAATGACTTAACGTGATCTGAATTTGTTGCCCGCAGGCCAATTACTGCCAAAAGTGTATGCAAAATATGGCAAAATACAGCGGATATGGCTGCCTTGGCAGTTTGACATCCCTGCCAGCCAGCGAGAGATTTGAGATTTGCGACTGCTTTGCGTATTATTTGAGGATCAGTTATTTACAATACTTGTCTGCTTGGCTCTCATTGTTTGCAAATGCTTTCGTTACTTTTTCTGTATCTTTTTTAAAAAGCTGACAGACATTTTTTCAACCAAATTATGTTTTTCTTTTAGAAATAATCAGAACTTAAATCTTCTTTTGAGAAAAAATAAAATTAGAATAATCAATTTTAACATATTTTCTTAGCAATGAATTTTTGTTAAAGTTTTAGAAATAATCTAATAAACTTAAATGTTCTTCTAAAAATAAAATATTGTTACAAAATTGCATTAATTTGAGAGTTTTTTAGTAAAGCACACATAAAATTATCTTAGATGAAAATTAAAAAAAAAAAACTCTTATAAAGTGATAATTATAATCTGACAAAAACTCTGACAAAATAAGAATTTACTTCTGCTAAGCGCTTAAAAAAACGTAATCTAAAGACTAAGGACTAAGCTAAAATTATTTTAAATATCAAGAAGCTCATTAATTTCATAAAATACCAAAAATAATCGGATTAAACAAATCAGTATAAAATATTGGATATTTACAATTGCTTATGAATATTTAAGACTTAAATAAAAGACTAAATTCAACTTATTTTCTAGTTGTCAAACTATATTCACGTCCCAGATATGATCTGTAAAACTGGCTAGCAGATTATCCAAGAGAACTAAAGTATTTAATAAGAAAAAGTGCATAAAATCTTATTCGGTTTACAAAAAGAATATTTTAAAAATGAACGTTTCCATTTCTTTTTAGAAATACGTTACTTAAAAATACGAAATGTTTATGAAAAATACATTATTGTTTTAGATTATTATTAGAAATTATTTTTAAAATGTTTAGAAATGTTTCCTACAAAGTAGAATTTATGGGGCTGTTCTAAACTCCAGCTCAATTTGTTTCTGAGTGTATTTTGTATATATATATATTTCTAAATTTTAGAATAAAGTTTTTCAAATAAGAAGTTGAATATTTTTGCTTATTAGAAATATATTTCCTAAAATCGGAATATTGACAACAAGACACTAATACTAATGGGATTCATTACCAGAAATTGTTGCTTGTATTTTTAGCAACTTTTGCAGTGTTTAGGGCGATTTTCTAAATTTCATTTCAGCCTTTTCCCAAGTGTATTTTTAATAAAATACCTATATAAGCACACACAAATACATATGTAGATGGACAAATACATAGGGAGATATTTATGTGGTCACTACACCCAAAAGTGTTGATGTTGTCCAATGAAGTCGAAACATTATCATCAAGGAGATTTATTTCTGAGCACATCATCTAGCCGGCTGCCAAATGGCTGCTGCCCCACAGAGGATTCGTGCGGATGCGTGAACAGGCACTGGGCAAAGCGGCAGAGAGGGGATGGTGGAGGAGGACGGCAGTGGGAGTGGAAGGGAGGAGTGGAAAATAAACGTATCAGAGGCTGTGGCAAAAAAGCAACTCACTTACATGAGTACAACAAAGTAACTTCATTTAAATGCTGTAAGAATTTGTTTTCGGCGTGTGCGACACCCGCACTCGGTGCCGAGCAGGGGCAACGAGGGGTGGCTGTGAGTCAGGGGTTGGTTGGTAGGGGGGGTAGGTGGTGGTCGGTGGTGGCAGAGTGGCAATATAAAGCTTAAAATGAAATTTAGCTGCGCTGCAGCGCGTCAAGCGTTTCCCATTCAAATGGCCATACATATGTTGATACATTTGTACATGTGTACGGTCTATGTACACGTGTGTGTGTGTGTGTGTATCTGTGTGTGTGTGTGTGTGTATAAATATGTATCTTTGTTTCAATGTAGCTACTACAAAAACCGATTCGACAGCGTTCTCTTTTTAACACTCGCTCCACATTCGCCATCTCACTTGAACCCCCACACCCTCTCTCGCTTTCTCTCTCGCTCGCCGTCACTCTGTCTCTCCCTCTCTCTCTCTCTCTCTCGCTCTCTCTCGCAGGCGCTTAGTCGCGCTAGTCTTGTCGCGGACAGCCGTCGGCGCCGCCGTCACTCCTCACGAGTGGCGTTTCAATTAATTAGAAAAAGTTAAAGAGACCCCCAACAAAAACTGCAAAACAAAAAAAAACGAGGGAGGCAACAACAGCAACAACAACAACAAAAACAACAATAACAAAAACAAATTTAAAATATCTCCGTAATAAAATGTAAGCGCGCATGCAACAGCAGCTGCGGCTGTGGCCGGTGTAGTCGCGGTGTCGGTGTCGGTATCGCTATCGTTGGCGTACTCCTCGGCGCCAGCGACAGCGGCAGCAGCAGCAGCAGCAGCGGAAGATGCCGCCAATCCAGCAACAGCCAACAGGCAACAACGTGGTCAGCAAAGTAAGCAGGATGAATGATAAAAACCTAACAGCTAAAAACCGAAACTGAAGCTGAAACTAAAGCTAAAGCGGCAGCAACTGAAGCAGCAACAGCAGCAGCAATGGCAATATCAACTGAAGCAGCAATAGCAACAGCAGCAACAGCAACAACAGCAGCAACAGCAACAACAGCAGCAACAGCAACAACAGCAACAACAGCAGCAACAGCAACAACAGCAACTGAAACATTGGCCCACCCCTTTCACGAGTTTTGTTCATGTTCATCAAGTTTTATTCTTTCTTTTTTTTTATTTTTTCTTATGTTGTTGTTGTTGTTGTTTATGGCAACAAATACTTGTACAACGTAGCGTACACTCAGCTCTCCCCAGCAGCAACGGCAGCAGCAGCAACGGCAGCAGCAGCGACGGCAGCAGCAGCAACCAAGTAGCAACAACAGCAACAACAGCAACAACAACAATAACGACGACAAAAGGCACAACAACAGTGCGTACAAATACATACATCGGCATTTTACAACAACACGCAATAACAGCCATTTTTCTAGTTGTTAAGTTAATTTTTTCATGTTCTGCTGGCTCGCTCGCACTTAACATGCGGCAAACAGCAGCAAGCAGCAGCAGCAGCAGAGTATTCGTAGTCGTGCCGAGACAAAACAGCCAACAGCCAACAGCCAACTGGCAACAACAACAAGCAAAAACAAGCAAGCGACGTGCTCAGCAAATGCGATTCGTGGGCACACTCTCACACACACACACAGACGCATACACACACACACACACGCACGGCCACATTTGCTATCTCGTTCACGCGCACACCACAATATGCCAGATACTTTATTTATGGTCGCAGCAGCAGCAGCAGCAACAGCAGCAGATACTTTTTGGTGTAGTGGCCGTTTGCTGGCTTGCTGCCTCTGCCGTCATTCTCCCCCTTGCGTTGACACACACACAGCAACCGGTTCTCGCAGCAGCAGCACCAGCAGCAGCAGTAGCAAGCAACCCGTCTCGCTTGCACTTGGGGGGCAACGCATGACAAACAGCCAGCCCACTTTTAATGATAATCATTATTGCCGTTGTTACGGTCGCCTGTCGTTGCTGTTGTTGTTATTGTTGTTGTTGATACTTTTTCTGCTTTTGCTCAGAAACACACACACATACACATACAGAGAGCGAGAGAGAGAATGAGAATGAGAAGAGAGCACAACACAAGCACATATACATATACAGCCGTAAGCAATTTAGGGGAGAAACGAGTTTTGCCAACCGTTGCGCTGCGCTCTCTCTCACTAACACACACTAACAGACAGACACACACATACAGACGGCGCTTATCTGTGTGTTAGCTACGGCTGCCTGCCAGCCTGCCTTGCCTTGCTTGCTTGCTGCTTGCTGCTCGTTGTTGTTGTTGTTGGTGTTTTCGCTGTTTTCGATTGTCGGTTGTCGTGTAATTCCCATTTGTCGTACACTTTGTAGTTGCTCAAGAAACTCATGTTAGTCTACTTTTGGCTGTTACGCAGATTGTTCGTATCGTTCGGTATCTCTCTCGTTCGTCGTTGCGTTGCGTTCGCTTCGTTCCGTTCCGTTCGCATCGCTTCGCTTCGCTTCGTCGTTGTCGTGCCTCTCTGCTGCCACTGCTGCCCACCACTGTCACAGTGCCACTGCCACTGCCAGTGACAGTGCCAAGTGCCAGTGTGCCCAGTGCCAGTGACAGTGTGCAGCGCTAACACAGCCTGTCGTGCCCGCTCGCCCGCAACACAAAAAAATTTCATTCAACATCGTCTACGGCTACGCAACCAATACCGACTCCATTTCCATCTCCATCTCCGATTCCGATTCCGATTGCGTCTTCGTCCGTAAGCCGCGACGGCGTTTGTTAACCTGGCATTAAGCGAGCATAAACAACTAGCAATCAGCAAGCAGCAAGCAGCGGCAGGCGCTAAGATTTTGTGACACGTTCTCCAAATGCTCACATCAAACAGCAGCTAAAACTGCAAAACTGTTTTTTTAAATACCGTTCAATCGCTTAACCGTCGGCATGACAAAAAGTCTGCAAAACGCGTAGTGCTTAAACACACACACACACGCACACGCACACATACTAAACACGCACATCCACACACACACACACACATACGTCACGTTAAGAGAGTGATAAAGTTCAAATGTTGAAATAATAATCATCGAAATACATCAAGTTAAATCAAAGGCTTACAACTTAAAACACAACCCGAGGAGACCAGCAAAAAAAAATTCAAAACAAAAACCCAAACGAAACAAGTTCAGTTAATGCAAAAGTTGCATTCAACAAAAAAAAATAAATAAAAATAATAATAATAATATATATAAATTGTTAATCAATTCTATTTGAATTGCGAAAGTTTGTGTTTAATTCAATTCAATTCGTGCCGTGCCGTTTTGATAATAATTATTAGTTCGACTTGAAAAGCAAATCTAAATTAAATGACAGTGCACAGTAATGAAACCGGTGTCTGTTTAGTAATGGTACGTACTAAAATAAAATACATACTAACTGCCAACTACATACTAAATGATAACTTGTAGCCAATCAATGGGAATCCCTTCAAATGAGCATCTGTTTCAATTCACAAGGACTAAACATGAGAGATACAGTTTATAAATTTAAGGATATTTTGATTTCAGATATATTTTTATCACTCTTATTGAAAATCAATTGGAATCATTTGTATTTGTAAAAAATTAATAGAAATCTGTTCCCAGGATGATTGAGAAATTATAGGAAATTGATTATATATATTCTTCCGACAGTCAACTAACTTTACAAAGTGCAACTAATTGTCACAAACGTGAAAAAAAAAACTTAAAAAGCAGTTTACAAACTGGATTAACTTACTATTCAAATTGACAGCTTAAACTTTCATGATAAACAGAGAATTCGATTTCAGATGGATGAAATCTTATTGAAATTGAATGTGATCCAATAAACGACAAAGTTTAAATATTAAACATTCATCTGACTTAATTTAGATGAACATAAGTTTAAACTTAAAGCCAAAAATCGAAGGGAAAATCAATGTGAATATCCATAAATGATAATCTAGTGTTATTTCAAAGGTGTTGCATATCAGAACATAAATTTTAAATCAGAAATATGAAATTTGTTATGATTTTGAAAAAGATTTTTAGTTCAGCTACAGTTTTTCTACTGTTCGATTTTTTTTCTCAATTTATTTCTTTTTTGTTAATCTCTTTAGCATGTGTTAAACATTTTAATGGGGAAAAAAGTTGCCAAATACTTAAGCGAGTTCCTCTAATTAATTTTAATTTGTAGCTGCAGCGATTGGACTTGACAGAGTGAGAGAGAGAGAGAGAGAGCAAGAGAAATGCGCAGGCATTTAAAAATAAATTGAAATAAAAGGAACATTTTCAAATCGATGTCTGCCAAATCCACTTTGAATCCCCAAATGTCAGCCATACATTTGTGCAATACATTGCTGTTTAGCGTGCCACCGTTTTTGTTCTCCTTTTCTTTTTTTTTTGGTTTTTGTGTAGTGTAGATAGATAGTAGATAGCGGACATGTGTACTACATACATGACACCAAGGGAAAGGCCCCAAACCCCCCCCAAAAAAAAAAAGAATACAACTACTAAATGCCGCTGCATAAACCAGTGTTCTACAAATGGCTAATACTTTGCGGCTGTTACTGTTTCTATTTGCTGCTATGCGCTTTTGTTTAAACACATGTATGCAGCACACACACACATAATACACACATACACACACACACACACATGTGTGTTTGCTTGTGTGTATTTAAAATCAAAGAGCCAAACATGCTGGCTGGTAATCTGATCTACATAGTGGCAAATATGGCAAGTTAATGTTGCCTCTTTGGTCAAATGTAATCAATTCAACTTATACTTGACACTTCAGCGCCAACACACACACAAGCACACACACACACACACACACATACATACACACTCGCACACACACACACAGGCAAACACACACAGACAGTCAGAGACATTGGCACATTAATTACAAATAAGTAAGAACAGCAACAAGCGCTATGAAAAGAGACCATAAAATGCTTGCGATAAACAAAAACAAAAAAAAATAAATAAATAAAACAGAAAAACAGAGAAAAAAAATAAACGAGCAAATAATGTGAAATGCAACTTGTAGAACAACAAAGAAAACTGAAACCGAAACCGAAACCGTATCTGAATCCGAATCCGAAACCGAAACCAAAAAATCCGATTTGAAGTCGCAGCGAAAAGAAAAAAAAAACTTAAATAAAATGCAAATCGTTGCTTAGATAAAAATTCCTCCATCACACATATGTGTATGAAAACATACACACTTAAGTGTGTGCGAGTGTGTGTGTGTGTGTGCGAGTGTGTGTGTGTGTGTATGGATGGATATTCAACACTTTCGAATAATTCTCAAGTTGTTGACTACAACTCAACCATTTGTTTATTCAAATACACATTCTTTGGCAGCGCTTCGATAGCATTGTCCATTTTGGATGTTCAACTAGAAATACAATATTGAGTGTATATATATATTGATGTATATATATATATATATGTATATTGATATGTGTTTTGTATTTGTTATATTCGTACATTAATGCACACTAAAGACATGGCGGATGGCCCGATGCATGATAAACATTGGCGGCTGATTCAAAGGCGCCAACTGATAACCCAAACCGTTGTCTCTCCCTCCACAACTCTTCGAGTCCATATGGGTCAGAGAATTAATTTTTAATCGCGTATGGCCACTTGAGTTGTCATTTGGTTAGGAGTAGGAGGGGAGTGGTGGGGTGGGGTGGGTTGGCCAACCATTCGTTCGATCAGAGGCAGTGCATCCGTCTATCTGTGACTATTTTGTGATATCACTCACTGTTTGGCCATGGCAACATGCGATAAAAATCCAATCTTGAGCCTTGGATCATTTGTAAAAAAAAGAAGAAAAAAAAAGAAAACCTAGAAGAAGAAGAAGAGCCGACATGAGCCAGAAGAACCCAAAGAGACCGAAGAGAGTCTCCAAGACTACCAAACCAAAATCGAGAAAAGTTTACGAAAGCAAAAGCCAAAGAGACGATAATAAATAAACCTGAAACTTGTTTGTGTCTGCAATGCCGCATGTGCGAATGTATGTTGCAGTTGTAGCAGTTGGTGTTGTTGTTGTTGCTGCAGTTGTTGCTGCAGTTGTTGCTGTTGTTGTTGTTGCTGCAGTTGTTGCAGTTGTCGTTTGCTGTTGTCGCTGGGTACTGTTGCTTGACTAAAAGTGTTGACAAAAGTGCGCGATAGGCTTATGTGCACACACAAACAACAACAACAACAACAAAAAAAAACATGGGCACGGACCAAGATGCACAAAGCCCGGTCCCAGCTATACACACACACACAATCCATACACACACACACACACACACAATCAAATTGCTCTTAGGATGTGTGTTGTCGTTGCGCGCTGCCAGCAATCGGCTGTGTAATTTAAATCAATGTTGTCAATCGAAAACATGATTTGTTGTTAATGGCGGCCCCACTTTGATGATCAACCCAAGAGGACCCTAGACGGCGAGATGGGCTATTAGGCTAGGGTTATGGACTGTATGTATCTATAGCACATATATATACACTGTACCGGTTGGAGTGTCTACACACACACACACACACAGTCACACACACGCACAAGCAAAGCGCTTATCGCATTGATAAGGGGGGGCAACGGTTTTTTAATTAAGTTTTGCTGGTAGCACAGCCCCAGGTACAGTAGACAAGTAGGGGCTGGCTGGTAGGTAGGCTCTATGTGGGCGCATCTCTTTTATTTTCTTTTTACTCATTTTCCACTCTTTGTATTTGCTTGGGCAACATTATAAAAAGTTTTCATTCGCTTTTTTCCAAAACAAATCAATGGATCTAATTTCAATTTTTCTTTTGAGCTGAAAGAAGCATTGTAGAAAAATGTGGAAAATTGTTTTGCTTTGTGAGAACATTTCTAGAATACCAGCGAATTATATTATATTTTTATTAATTGCTTAACTGATTTTCTACTCTTTGTATTTGGCATAATTTTAAATAGTTTTCATTGATTTTTTCAAGACACTTTCCTTTCAGCAATGATTTACATCAATTGTTGAAAAATGTGTAAAATACGTGCAACATACGGGAATATGAGTAAATATGATTTATTTTTGCCTTGTCAAAATGACAGATACAATTTCAAAGACTATGATCGAGTATTAGTAGTGAGAAGACTTTATTTTAGGGGATTGTTGGGGGGTAGCTGTAATTAATTATTTCTTTACTGATTTTGTGCACTTTGTATGTCTTTTGCCAGAATGCCGTTTCAACTCGCCTTGCTGCCTCATCGCCAACCACACCCTCCACGAACGCCGCACAGACGCCGCCGCATCCACAGACTACAACGCAGTTGCCAGCTTTGCCACCGTTAGCGCATCCAACAAGCGGCGCCGGCTCCGGCCACGGCCACGGTCCTGGTGCCGGCTCCGGTCCGGGGCCCACGTTAACCGCGGCCGTTGCTGCTGCTGCCGCCGCCGGTTTGCCCGGCAGTGGTCTACCCCTGCCCCTGACTGTGCCCGCTTCGAGCAACGTGATGGTCACATCGACAGTGCCGCCGGGCGCACGCTCCGGTTCACCGTGTGCCGCTGCTGTCACACCATATGGCTCGGCTGGCAGTAGTGTTGGACCCGGTCCCTCATCGTTGCCGGCGATTGGTGTCGGTCCGCCGCCGGGTGGTGCACCGCCAGCGCCTGGTTCCGGCAATCCGAATCCGAATCGCTGTTGCGACACGGGCCGTACCATCTACACGGATCCTGTGAGCGGCCAGACGATCTGCTCCTGCCAATATGATATGCTGAACTATCAGCGCTTAGCTGCCGCCGGCGGCCTTGTCGCCGGTCCCGGCGGTGTACCGCTCGGCGTCTATCCGGAGGGCATGTCCGCCTACCTGTCGGGCATCGCTGGCGATCAGCCGCCATTCTACGCGAATCCGGTAAGTAAAACGTGCAACGTTTAGTTGTTTTTGTTTTTTTTTTTTATCCCGCATGCAAAACCCTCAACTCTCAACTCTGTGCAGCTCTCGGACTGAGCTCAGCTCTGTTCATAAGTCATGCGTCCGAACAATGGTGCAATAAATTTGTGAATTTGTCCAGCGTCCAAGCAGGGACCACCGTCAACGACGACATCGTCGTCGTCGTCATTTGATCGTGTGCCAGGGCCACGCACACAAAAGCGCAACCAGCTAGATATATACATATATATATATATATATATAAATATATATATATGGCAGCAGTGCTTCCGAACATGTGTTAGTCAGCGAGTATGGTTTTGTCTTTGGTGGGCTTTTATTGCTGGGTTATTGGCATTCTAGGCACAGATTTGTCAAGAGCTTGTGCGACTCCGAGACTCCGACCCTAAGCTATGTCTGTGCCTATGCCATTTGCTGACCTTTTGCTGGGTGATATTTCAAGCCGCATTATTGTGATAGCTCGCCACGGAATTTTACTGTCACTGAGCCTGAGAGCATACAATGGTCGGTCCAATGGTCCGATGGTCCAATGGTCCGATGGTCCAATGGTCCGCTGGTGCAACGGTCCATCGGAAGATTCGTTGTTGGTTGTTGGTTGTTGCCTGTTTGTTACAGCATGTCCGGCGCTTCACGGCGTTGTCCATTGTTCGCCGAATTATTTCTAATAGCAGCGTGTAATTTGCTTTTGTTTGCAAACAATTCTATTTGGTTTGACTTCTTCCCCGGACCACATACTGTGCCGAGGGTCACCAATATGCCAGTAGGCCCAGCAACCAACGTATGGCTAGGGGTAGGGGTAGGGGTAGGGGTCAGGACCCCCACTGCGACTGCTCGCAGTGCCTTGACCGGATCTTGTCTGTGTGGCTTTTCAGTCTACTCGAATTCCAAATAATCAGAGTCCATGGCTATTAGCCCATTGGCCGACATATGGTTTCAAACACACTCAATTAGTCAATCGACTGAGTCAAAAATGAAATAGGATCACAAAGTGCTCAAACATAGCTGACTATTTGGGTCGGCTTAAATCAACATATTCGTATTTTTTGATTGTTATATTAATCTCTACTTTTTTAGTGCATATATAAACCAAAAATGTTGAAATAATCAACGCATATTTTGTGCAAAAAGTCAACTTAAAAGTGTACTAAAAAACATCTGTATATCTGCAAGCCATTAATATTATGTGACGTGTAAACTGGAATTTTTCTTCAAGATTTAATAGCTTTGACAATAGCTTTATCATAACATAAATATCTGCTTAAATTAAATGAGTTTGTTCGCTCAAGGCAGCTTATTTACTAAAAACAAAAAACCAAAAACTCAATATGAAAAATGCATATTTCACAGAAAATGACGAGCGGTCGTAGCAAAAATTGAGCAAAAGAAAAAGGTGTCACTTAAATTTTCGAGTTATTCATTGAGACAAATGTGAAAATGTGATTCGATTGTCAGATATTTTCGCAGCAAAAAACTCACATCTGCACATACATATATATACATATATAATGTTCAAGTGATCCTCAAATCTCAATGAGATGTTTGAACGAGAAACAAGCTATGAGACAAAGTAGTTTTTGAGTGAAGAAAAAAAAAAATACATAAAAAGCATAAAAAATAGTAACTTGAAGTGAAACAACTTGGTTTTGAACCAGTTGAGGCAACAGTTTTATGTTGCTAATACTTGTATCAAATAATTTACAACCTCTCCGATTATATTCATAATTTACTAATCATTCCCATAAACATGTGTGTGTGTGTGTGTGTGTGTATGTGTGTGTATGAATGTGAATGTGTTATACGTGCCACTAATGACAGAGTAACAAAAAAAAAATCGATCGTCGTACTACTTACTGAAGTCGCTTTTAAGTGTATGTATCTGTGTGTGTGTGTGTGTGTGTGTGTGTGTGTGTGTATGTGTGTGTGTGTATCTGTGTGGTGCCTAAGTATATTGATTTGCATTTGAAGAAGCTTAGGCAGCTGGCCAGACATAAAAACATATAAACCCGGCCTGCCGCCAGTAGCTGCGGTTTTGCATAAATTTGGTTTTGTTTTGTTGCCGGTTGCGTATTGTTATTGAAAGATACTTATTAAAAAAAGAAAAAGACGAAAAAAGAGGCACACAACAACAAAAGAAGACAACAACAACAACAACAACGCCACAATATTCGACGCATTCGAAATTTATCGATTGGTGATTAAGCACTGTCCCTCTCAATGCCTCCAAAAAGTCGCCTACGCTGCGCTGACACAGCAACATTCAACCAAATGAAGTACAGCATATATATCTATATACATATATATATATATATACATATATATATATACACATATATATGTGTATACATTTTTAAGTGTATTTTATATTGATTGAGGCGTTTAAAAGGCAAAACAGTTTCAAATTTTCCGGCCGCACAGCTGCATAAATCATCCCGGCGATCGTAATTAGTCACTGCGGCATTTTTACCGTACCGCCGGCGCTAAACTGGAGCAATTTTTCTTAGCATCTATATAGGAGCATACCATACCATACCATACCATACCAGGCCGGGCCCGGAGAGTTGTAAAAGTGTCGGCTCTGTGCGGTGGATTCATTACTTTGACACGAGCTGTCAAGCGGCTGTCATTTTGCCGCAGCACGGGAATATATATTTCTCGTTGTCTTCAAAAAAAAAAAAAAAAAAAAAAGACTCGACGCATGCTAAATGGTGGATGATGGTTTGAAGGTGGATGTGGATATGAATTTGTCTGCTGGATGTGACTTTTGTGAGCAAGATAGAGATAGAAAGATGGTGCAACTGTGCGCGGCCCTGCTGTCATTTCAAATGGCAAAAAGAAACATTTGAAGAGCCGCCGCCTGTTTGCCAGTTTGCCAGTTTGCCAGTTCGCCTGCCAAACAACAAATAGGCCAGGCCGCGCCCGGTGTCGTTGAGGGCGTCGACTGCTGCTTTTCATACCTTATTAATAAATTTGTCAACACGCAAGTGACAGCCTGTCCGCCTGTGATCCGCCCTCGCCCTCGCCTTCGCCCTCGCCCTTGCCCCTGCCACTGCCACTGCCACTGCCTGCCTGGCAGCCGTCAGTTTATCTTCATGTCTCGTTGATCCTTAAGTTCGAGTTTGACGTTAGCGCATATGTTGCATCCTGCGACGCATGTTGCACATGATTCAGCTGCCCCCCAATTAGACAATGGCAATCATAGTTATTTTTGTGTGACAGCACTGCTGTTTATCCTTAAGCCACTGCACTACCAGTAAAAACAACAGCAAGTTCGAGTCCATATTGACTTTTTCATACACTCCTCGCTCAGTAAGTGACACCAACATCAACAACAGCAACAACAGCAACAAATGCAGGCATGAAATTTCGCACTCTCGACAATAATCTTGTTCTAGACAGCTCGACGCACAAGTGTCTATGTCTATGTCTATGTACATGTTCATGTCCTCAAGCGAGGTCCTGTGGGAGCACAAAAAACTTTTTGCCGTTGGCAAAACTTGCCTATCCAAAAATTGTCACACAAAAAGCAACTACAAATCGTGCCCAATGACGATAGTGGCACTCCACTCGCCACTCTGCCCCTCATCATAATCTAAGCCATTTACACTCACATGCGAGACGAAAGCAACCCCAAACAATGAAGTGCGTCGTTGGGAGTTTTGGCCCGAAAATGTACATGCACTGATTTGTCAACTTTCAAAATGTCGAAGTGTCGTCGTGTTGTGTTCATGTTGCTATTGTTGCTGTTGTTGCTGTTGCTGCTGCTGCTGCTGCTGCTTTTTGGGGGTTGCTGCCCTAATGGCAAGGTGACGTCTGGAAGGAGAAGAGTGTTGAGCTGCCACAGCTCCTGGGCCCAAAGTACTAAATACATTTACTCACTCTTCTATCGCATTGTTGTTGCCGTAAGTGTTGTGGAAAGTTTTTGTGTTGCTGCCGTTGTTGTTTGGCTTTTTGGCAAAAGTTGAAAATGTTCGTTAACAGTAAATTTTGCACTCTTATATACACACACACACACACACACACCCATACATAGCAGAGAGTTGGTTGGGGTGTCTACGAGAATGTTTTGAATGGCTGCCTACAACAAACAACAAATTAGCAGTCATGGCAACGCCGAGCGAACAACAAACAGCCAAACAAACAAGCCAGAACCACACTTACAACTTTCACATAACAACAGAGGCAGAGGCAGCTTCAGGCTGCCACATCCACATCCACATCCTCATCCGCATCTCGTTTGTACAACTTTATAAGCGCCCAAGCGCAATAACTGTCAACTGGTATAGGAGCCCGGAGCGGGAGCTGGAGCTGAAGCTGGAACTGGAGCTGGAGCTGGAAAGGGGGAGCGGGATGGAAGGCGACGGAGCATACTTCATCTCCTGAGGGAGATTTGCTGGCGCTAGACGCCGTTAAGCATTCTATTTTGTCAAAGTCAAAGTCCTCGCATGTCGTCGATGCTTCAAAATCAGTCTCAGTTTGTGATTCAGCAGATGCTGATTTCTGATTCCATTCATTCTTCGGCCGTGGTTCGCGGTTCGCGGCTCGTTCCAATGAGTAGAGACAGGAATGCGCTGCGTAAACGTGCGTTTATTTTTAAAACGAGGCAGCAATTAATTAACTCGACCCGTCATTACGCGCATCATTCGCATCGCGGTGCATCAGGCGACAGACCACAGGCACACCACAATGCTCCGCCCGAAATCCGAACCCCCCCATCCCATCCCATCCCAACCCAAATCGAACTGATCCGAACCTGGAGCCTGGTTGGTTTGGTTGCCTGCTTCCCAGCCAAATTAAATCACTGTCGCGACGTGTCGGCCAATTGTCGATGTTGCCGATGTTATCCACTGAGGCGGAAGCGTGATGCGCAGACAGCGTTCCACAAATTTAGTTAACAATTAAAACCAGATGAGTGCCCAGTTTTATATGAATTCATTCATTTGCGGCTTCTTGCTGCGAAATCACACTCCACATTGCGTGAATCGACACACATTTTGATCGTCTGTTGTTGGTACACTGCTACTCAAAAATTATATATATTGCAGCTAGCTTAAGACTTGTATAATACAGCTTGATTTGCAATCAAAAGATAATTCTATAATACGGACTAGTTCACAAATTTAGAGTGCCGAAGCAAACTGCTTTTACTTTTCGTATATTCAACAAATAATCTGACTTGCTGGTTTAATTTCTCAATTATCTCAGCAATTATTGACCAGCAGCAGATACATTCTTTCATAATGCCAACAGTTTTATAAGAATATCACAAAATGTATAATGCACTGAAGGGCACAGCTCCGACCCAATAAGATCTACAACCCAAACCATTTTTAATTCGTAAATCGAGCATTGTTCTGATAGCATCATTGACATCCGCAAATATTTTATATAACATGAAAGATAATTGAAAATTTCCAAAAAGAATAAACATGTGTAGATATTCCCTAGACATAAATAAAATCTGCTGAAAAATGCTACATTTAGGAATTGCTACTAAGTTGGATTGTATACATTCCTGATCAACTCCAATTTATTTATTTATTTATTTATTTTTTATTTGCATATCTTAGACTAAGATCAAGAATTTTAGAATAGTATCGTGTAAGGAAACTTATAAATTATAAATTAGATCAATTCAAAAGCAGAACAAGGCCATTTTCTGCTGTTGGGATTTAAATAAATCTTATCAATTTGAAATCAATAATTCATCAACAATTTAAAATAGAATTAAAAGTTGCTAACAAGTTGAATAGAACTTGACTCTGTCGTAAATAAATAATAATCTTTAAAGGCAAATTTGTGTTCAACAAGCTTGCCAATACCAGATTTCGTACACATTTAAATGATGATGAATCATTTCCTGGTACATGAATACACACACACACACACGCACACACAGATGGATATACACACACACAGATACATACACATACATATATCACTTACTATCGCTTTGGGCCGATCCATGTTAGTTCTGGTCTAAATACTGCTGCTGTACAGTAGTAATGGATGCTGAGTCTGGCTGGCTGGCTGGCTGGCTAGCTGGCTGGTTGGCTGGCTGGCTGGCTGACTGTCTGGTTGGTTGGCTGGCTGGCTGGTTAATGTTTGAGAACGCACTACCAGTAATAATAAACGCAAAACGTAGTTGCACACATGTCGATTGTTCATGTTGTTAATATTTTGCATCACACGCAAAAATCTGTGCAGCAGCAGAGGAGCAGGAGCAGAAGCAGAAGCAGGAGCAGGAGGCGGAGCAGACAAGGGTGACAAGGGGGCGGTTGTGGAGCTGCTGTGCAATGTTGTAAGTAAGTAGCAAACGCAACAATTTATGGGATGTGTTGCACTGAATGCGCTTCACTCGCATGTCCATGTACATGTCCATGCATGTCCATATGCAGCACGCACTCCACACACACACACACACACACACACACACACTCCAAGCAGGGCAGGCCGTAAAGATTGCTTGTGGATTTTAGTGGATGCGGATGCGGATACTCTGAATGTTGATGCTGAACATGGTGCTGGTGGCTGCTGCGGCTGCTGCTGATAGTTGAATGCGATTATTGTAAGAGTTGTAAAAATTGTAAAACCGGTTCGGCCCTTTTCGATTCATTGAGGAATCGGAATCGGGCAACGGGCATCGAGCATCGAGCATCGAGCATTGGGAACGGTATCCAGCTCCAACTGGTAATTGATCGCTCGCTTGCAACTTTCGACCTTCCGCACCGACTTTTCTGTATGTGTGTGTGTTTATGTGTTTGTGCAACATTCGAGAACTGTAATTTAATATTGTCAGACTTTGGCAAAAGGTTGTAAAACGTTTTGCTAAATGACTTCTGCGAACTGCACGTTACGACAAGCGCTTCCTTTCCGCCCGTAGACCTGTCCGTGTCCGCGTCCGTAGACGGGCCACAAGGGCCAGGGACTAAACCAGCCGAGATCTCTGTCGCCGGTTATCAGTCTCTCTATCGCTTGGCTCAAACTCAAACTCTAAACTCACAAACTCAAACTCAAACTCAAACTCAAAAACTCACCACATGCTGAGCCATGCGAACCCTCGTCGTGGCCTCTGCGATTGGCATTGATATCGGGGCCTAAACAGCAAACCCAACCGACGAACATATATATTCTTTATACATATATATTTATATATATATATATATATTGGCGACAGACATACACACACAAATATTTTCGACGGGTCCAGGTTGCTGGCAGCGAAGATAACACAAGACAACTGCAACAGCCACAGCCACAGCCGCAGCCGCAGCAACACAGACAGTCGCCTCAATGTCGTATGCCACAAATGCAATTCGCATACTTCACATGCGGAACGGAACTTGGCCAACAGTAGGCATAAGGGTCCAAAAGTCCCAGCGAAGATGCGCTCCCCGTGCGGTGTCATGTACTTAGATGTGTATCGATCGTTGATTTTACATCATGTTCAAGCTGTTGCAGTTCTCAGACTGACCTTTTGACTCCAAACTCGAGGAAGAAGACCCTAAATTTAGTGCGGCAAAGACAGTGCCTGAATAATAATTATTGATTGAAATCTCGAGAGTAACCTGTAGTTTATTATTATTATGATAATGATTATTATTAATATTAAAATTATTCCATGTTGTATTTTTAATAGTTATATTATTATAATTTATTTTTTTCTGAAAAAGCTGGGTAAAATTTAATTTAAATCGAATTAAAATCAATTTAATTTCAATCGGGAAAAGTATTTTTATATTCGTCTTCAATCTGCTCTGGCGCAGTATACAAACATAATAATATAAATTAAACCTATCTTTTTAAATGTTTCAAACTCGTTTTCTTATGTACTCCTATGTGCCATGTGAATGAGAGGACACCAAACATAATAATGCTTTTAGCAGTAAAAGCAACACCAACAACAATTCAGCCATTAACCCTTAGAGTCAAGTCAAGTCCTTATTTCCCCCGCCGATATTCGTTTATTTAATGTCTCGATCAATTAGCGAGCTCATCAATGGCCGACTGTATTGTGTATGGGTATTTTCTTTATCATTGGCAGCTTTCCGTTATCAATACAGCTGCTGCTCTCAACTTCGCTTCAGCTTGCCCCTTGTGGCCCGCTTCGGATTGGGCTCGTTGCAATCTTTTGTCGTTATCACTTGGTACACGACAAACAGCTGACATCAACATCTGTCGCAGTGAATTTAGACACGACTAAATTACTAAATGTGTATATAAGTAATTGTCATGTTACACTTAATCAACATTTCACATATATACGAATGTATGTGTGTGTCTGTGTGTGTGTGTGTGTGTCTATCTGTGCTATTTGTGTGTATTTGTGTGATTTTAATTACGAACTGTGGCAAGAGATGCCCACAAGTCGACATATGTTTGTTTCACGAACTACATGCCTACAAACATACAAACATACATATATATATATACATGTATTTGTGCTATATACATCGACATTTATTCGCATATTCATGTGTCTCATTATCAAATTAAATGGCAAGTGCTGTGAATTCAAAGTGAATACTAAAGCGAATCAAAGCGAATGCGGTACGCCTTTTTGGACACGTCTTGTTCGCATGATCGACAGACTTAGAAGCTGCTTATCACTGAATTTAACTGTACAGTGGCTAACATTAATCTTAACTTAATTTAATTCTTTCACAATAAAGTCCTGAAAGCTAATAACAATAACTACTTAAATATTGCACAATGCCTACATTATCTTTATAGAAAGGAGTGTTAAGCTTTTCGTAAGCAAAGAATTGTTCGACTTATGCATACACTGCTCGTAATTCCCCTTGTTTTATAACTAATTAAAGATGATCTGCTTCGATGGTGGCTCTCTGATAAGAAAATATACAATTTGAAGCTGAACGCGTAAAAATGTACTAATGATTTGTTTAACATGAATTTTTATAATTTCGGTTCAAGGTCTTGGCTAATGGTCAAGCACATCAATTTCCAAATAACATAGATTAAAGCAAATACTTGTACACTTATTCGTATATGTTCTAAATATAGCTGACATTAATATTTTATATATACACATTTTTTGATTGCAGGCTGGCATCGACTTGAAGGAGAATTTGGTGGCTGGAGCTGCTCCATGGCCGTATCCATCAATGTATCATCCGTATGACGCAGCGTTTGCCGGCTATCCCTTCAATAGGTGAGTGCAGCAGTTGAATAACAATAATAATTTGACATTGAGGCAGGAGTGTGGCAGAGATTTGCTGAACACCAACTCGACACAATACGGGGCGAGAACATGAACGGTGGTCCGACAGGCGATCAACGCCAACACATCAGCTGCGGGTGCAACGTGACCAGCACACCTAATCCCATTCTCAAGTAGGGCGCGGCACTGGCCACCAGCCAGGAGTCGATGCGTCCACTAAAACTAGTAGTTACAGTGACAGTGACTGTTGAAAGTTGTTGTTGCTGCCACAGCTGTGCCGTGCCGTGCTGTGCTGCATTCAAATGCCGGCCAAATTCGGTGCATTAAAAAGTAAAAGCCAACATTGCACATTGGCACGCATTCATACACATATATATATATAGAAATATACATATATAGATATATATATATATATTTGATTTTCTATCATTAACGACAATTTATTTGCTTGTAATTGATGATCGGCCCCGTCGGCTGTTTGGCAGAGTGGCCGCTTCCGCTGGACAACAAACAAAAAATGTAAATAAAAAAAAAGTTGCCGACACACATAAATTTCCAAAGCAAGTTGTCGATTAAACAATCGACAACATCCCGTCACGTCACGTACAGGTTGAGGCAGAGTGTTTTCAGTGCTTCTCTCTCATTGTTTCTACCGTAATTGACACCCATAACAAAAATTTGAAAGTTGAGTCATGTCGATTGTTGTCGCAGTTGTTGTTGCTGTTGTTGTCTATCGAATCATATTCACAATAAATCAATTTTGAGTTATTTCGCTGTGACGTGACGCCGACTAGCGAATTCCGATTCCGAATTCAGTGGATAAACTCTAAAGAAATGTGGCTATGGATGTCGATGCGTCTGCTGGCAGCCCTACCTTGTCCATTTAAGTTGAGGGCGTGTAGTGTTGCCATTTGTTGTTGCATTGTTTGACAACAGCATCGCCATCATTCATATATGCTGTGTGTGTGTGTGTGCGTGTGTGTGTGTGTGTGCACGGCGTCAAGCAAAAAACCGCCGGACGTTGATAGGAAAATTAAAAAAATTTATTCAACTGTCAAGTGATCAAAGGCAGAGTGTGGCTGTCGGCGCAGGTGTTTTGCACTCGGCGACACTTCGTATTCGAAATTTAAATTAATTAATGCAACGCACACACAGAGCATACACACACACACACTGCACACACACACACACATCAGGCTGTGCAGCTGGCTGGAAACTACTGCCACATAATACAAATGGGACAGCTACATATGTATACGCATATCTGTTGTTCCGCTGCTGTCTATGGCCATGGATGCACTTGTGAATATGCCATACACATGTACACACTCACACAGACACACACACACTCAGCTGGATATGTGCATGTTAACTGGCCACAAAAAACGATAAAGGACAGTTGCTGCCACACACACACACACACACACACACACAGAGATGCATATTTGTCGCGTCGAATGCATTACCCTGGTCAGATCTGAAATGTGTTGTCCGACCGCAAACTGCACATGTGTACATAAATGTTACACTGGGCACAGGCCGACAAATGGACAAGCGGCCAGACAGAAGGCCATTTGGGCAAAATGGCTAGCGAAATGTGTTTATTATAAACAAATGTTGCCAATCCATGATGCTCTCCTAATAGTACACTCAAACAAAAAAGTAGTTTTTCAATTTAAAACTTTCCTATTGTTTTGCTGTTAAAATTTCAAGTGCATTGATTTAAAATATATACTTTTTTAGAAAAGCAAACATTCATAAAACAAAAGAATATATATATAATTATAAATATTTATTAAAAGTATTTCAAAAAAAAAAGTGCAAGATGCTTTCTATCCATCTTTCTCTATCTTTCTCTCTCTCTCTCTCTCTCGTTTAAAATTCTTAATCTTAATCTTAAATTTCAAATAATACCTAAAATATTAAAATTCTTGCTTAATGTTCTCATTCTATTGCTCTACAATACATCTGAATATCTGTTTTAAATTGCACACAATCCTAACTAACTCAACATTAAACAGTCTTAAGAAACTTTTGGACTTCAAAAATGTTTCTAAAATAAGAATTTAATTTTCTTGTAAGGATTTTAGCAATGCTTTTGAGTTGCCAATATTTTTCCAAGTGTAGATAGGCGACCAGCCCAGCTCAGCATATTTCAAACTGCATATTTAAAATCCAACCCGTTCTGGCAACAGATTGACCATTAAAATTGCCAGTCCTCCAATAATATTTGTCACCTGTTTACTTCTCACACTCACACGCTGGGGCAGCAGCCGACGGCTTGTCACACCCTTAAATTGTCGTCTAGTCTTAGACAAGTTTTGTAACCCTTCAATTTTGAATTCGTTAATTGCAGTTATGGCATGGATTTGAATGGGGCCCGGCGAAAGAACGCAACCCGCGAGACGACATCAACGCTGAAGGCATGGCTCAATGAGCATAAAAAGAATCCTTATCCAACGAAGGGCGAGAAAATAATGCTGGCGATTATCACAAAAATGACGCTAACCCAGGTATCCACCTGGTTTGCAAATGCGAGAAGAAGACTGAAAAAGGAGAACAAAATGACCTGGGAGCCCAGAAATCGAGTCGACGACGACGATGCCAATATTGACGACGACGATGATAACGATAAGAATACCGAAGAGAATGATTTGCTAGGTAAGTGATGATCTCAGTTTAAATATATTATATTCCTCTTAACTTCTCTTAATTTATAACTCATTGTTTTGTATTATTTTTGTATCTATAACTTTCGTTAATATTCCTAAAATATTCGTATTCATTTCATTAACTGAATTAAGCTTATATTGTTCACAAGCACTCATCAAACTTTTAAGACGTTTTGATATTTTCGATTCTTAAATTTTTTATTGCGTATTGAGAAATACAAAAAGCAATTGGCTTATCACCTTCTAAAATTAATTGTCATCTATATCTTCTTTGTCTATACACACACAAAGCAATTGATTTCCATAACAAAAAAAAAGTGAAGATAAGCAAATTTAGTTTTTATAAACCTAATAAAGTTCAAAGTTTTTAAAACTGAACTGAGATTGGGTAAATACTATTAAGTACTAACATAAACTTTTATAATAAAAACCATTCAAGATTGGATGCTTTTTTCGGCTTGTGAGATTCTGTTCTGGAGTGTTTGTTCCTATAAAATAGATAATATGGAAATCATTCGTTGGAAATGTTTACTATTCTGTTTACATCTTTAACGAGTGAAGCAAAATATTTTCAAAATTCTTAGTTTCTGAATCTATTATAATACTTTTCTTTCGATTAAAGTCTCTTTCCGATAACTTTCCGATATAAAAATTAGTAATGCTATAAATTAAATATTCCTTAAGTATTCCTATGCCATTCCCAATCTTATTTAAATTCGATTACATCTTTGCAGATGCAAAGGACTCGGGACTGGGCTCCAACGATGATAAGGATCGCATTGGACGTCTCGGTGATATGATGGCCGATCGTCCCGGCGAGAGTAATAACAGTGAATGGTCGGAGTCGCGACCGGGATCTCCCAATGGTTCCCCCGATCTGTACGACCGACCCGGCACCCACCCACTGTTCCATCCCGCCGCCCTGCATCATCACTTCCGGCCACCGACCGGTTCGCCACCCGACATCGCCGCCTACCACCACCATCAACAGCAGCTGTTGCAGCAGCATCAGCAGGCACAGCAAAACTCGTTGCAGACCGCTGTGGGTGGCACTGGTGTCAGTTTGGCTGTGAAGCCACGCATCTGGTCGCTGGCCGACATGGCCAAGGATGGCAAGGAGTCCAACTCGGCCAACAAGGATAACTCGCCGGCCAGCGAGCTGCCGCCGTCGCAGCCAGCCTTCTACGGCCATCCGAGTCAACATCAGCATCCATCGCCGGGCAAAATACTCTCACCGCTGGCGGCTCGCATACCCAACTATGCGCCATATGTGCGACCAGATTTGTATCGTGGCTTCTATGGGCCGGCGGCAGCAGCTGCCGCCCATTTGAGTGCACCAACGCAGGAGTTTCTGGAGCATCAGCGGCATTTCGGTGCCAGTCTGGCGGCACACAACGGTCTCGGCATGAATCCGCTGCTGTGGAAAGCGGCGGTGTCTGGTGCCGCCACCGGACAACACTTTGCACCACTCAGCCTGACAACGACTAGCAATGCGGGTGCCGTGCAGGTGGCACCACCACCCGGTGCATCGCCATCTGCCTCCAGTTCATCGTCGTCGATGGGCTGTGATGTGGTGCACATACCCAACAGCAGTGGTGGTGGTGGCGGCGGTGGTCATTCCGCTGCACAGCATATGATCGGGCCCATTTCCAGCAATTCGACCTCTTCGTCATCCTCCTCGAACTCGGGCAAGATCTCTCCGGGCGTGAATGTGACCTCGCTGAGCGGCAAGCCATGACACCCAACAACGCTCTCCGCTTCAGCATCAGCGTCCGCATCCCCTGATCCATACGCATTGCCGCCGACCTCAGCTGCTTCGCCGATCTCGGCATTCCGGTCGCTGTCATTGATCGCTATGCGGGAACATCATCTGCAGCAACAGGCGCCCAAATTGGCGCTGTTACGACCGTAGCCATGTGCCACGGATTTCGGGGCATGCCAATGAGCAAGAAACAATAAGGCGCCCCCCCACAGCTGGCAGAGAGAGTGAGAGAGAGAGAGGGAGAGGGAGAGTGATAGAGAAAGAGGATCAAGTTCAGTTCGGGTAGAGAGATCGGGCAAAACTTTCGGACAATAATTTACATGTGATTATTCGGTATTTTGATTAACGCCGCTTACACCAAATAGCAAGAATCATCCCGCTCCCAGCAGCAGCCGCAAACAACAAACAACAAATACAAAACAACAAGAAACAACAACAACAACAAACAAACCAACAACCATAACTGTCAAGGACTTTGTGCAATTTTTGTGGGAATGAAAAATCCTAAATCTAATTGAAAAAAAAAATACATTAATTTTAATACATACAACTTACGCAATCAGAGCTTATAGGAAGTAAATTTGTAAGAGTTAGTGAAAAATGAAAAAGAAAAACCTAAAAAAAAAACTAAATAACTAAAACCAAACCCAATGACATCTAGCAGAAGCAGTTGAATAATAAGTAGTATCTCGCAAGGACATCCTCTCAACGGAAGACACAAAAGAGACAGCTTGATCAGAGACAGAGAGCGAGAGATAGAGAGAGAGAGAGAGTCGCTTCTCATCAATGAGCTGCTAGATGAGAGAGAACCACAAAGTAATTACAAACACTTTCACAGACACACATATATTTTCACGTTCTACTACTAGAATTGGCTTCAGACTTCAGGCGCTGATCTATGCGGTACATAAGTATGTATGTATATAGTGAATATATACGATATATATGACGGTACTTAAGTACGTAAACATATTAAGTTAATTGTATGTCACTTTGCCATCCTCTATTGCTTGTATGGATGGACATAAAACATATCAACGTGACGAACGCTCCAATCAAAATCCGGCCTCCCTCCTTTCCTTCCTTTATCAGAGCAGCCCCCCAACCCCCAACCACCAACCCCCTTCCACCATGCAACATGCACCATGCACCCTCCCGACCATATCCATACCAAATATGCAAGTAAATGCGAGCAATGATTGATTTAGTTGTTTTTGTTTTTATTGTCTTAAGTTCAAACTTTGTTCCTGTCGTTTGTAAATTTAATTTATTGTATGTATGTATGTATTTATTTGATAAATTGGCAAACACGATTTACCTATTTATACTTATACTTAGTGTACGAATATACATATATATACATATACATATATATATATTCGTATATATATATTTAATAATTGCTGTATTTTATGCACAAATTGTATGTAAGCTCGCATAGTTTTAGCGCCCTAAGCGGTTAGTGTAATATACTTAATGCAACTGTATATACTTATCATACATAAATAATGAATAAAAAATGAAAATGATACATATAAATGGAAAAATAACGCTATTATTTATAATCAAATTAATTGCATATGGGAACATTTGTAATGCTTTTCTGAAGTTCGAATTCATGAGTATAATTGGGAGCAAATGGGTGCTCAATAAAGGGTTCAAATATCTGTAAAAGGTTAACCAACAATTGATCCTAAAGATGCTAAAACATATAGCCACATTTTTCTTTTAAAAGAATTTATTTATTTAGTAATTCGCTTTTTGTTAAACTTTCTTAAGTTAAACACAACTCTCAATGGCTCCAAATTTGAACTGGAACCGTCGAAAGACATATTTAAACTACAAAAAGAGGTCTGCAATCCATAAATGATTTTAGTTTACTCAAACTTTTCAAAAGCTCAACTACATAAATATCTTTAAGGCAGACTTCACACATTGCCATCTTTAAACATTTAATAATATGAAATTCACTTCCATTTTTCAACAGTTTTGCGAAATGAATCTCATTGAACACCACCGATTTCATACTTATTGAGATGATTAAGTGCTGAATTAATTGATTTAAAGTGTGCAATTAATTTCAATCGATATTTATAGACTGCGAATACAAATCGCAGTGCACTGGCGAGTTAATCAACTCAAATTGATAATCATTAATCGCCAACAATGTCAACTTACTAAGCCAGTCGCCAGTTTGATTGGCCTTGGTCGTTTTTGTTTTGGTTTCTGTTGCTGTTGCTGTTGCTGTCGTCATGTCATCTGAGCAGACGATCTCTTTAAGTTATTCCAAAAGCTGTATGATGTATGATGTAGTACTTACTCATCGAGTGAACATTGGCGAAAAAGCTGAAAAGCAAAATTTCGTTTTGCTCGAAACGTGTTTTCCTGCAGTGCAGACCGGAAATGCAATCGCAAACCTAAACAGAACTAAAGCAGAGTACGCAGAATGCACACAACTATGAATGACAGTAATATGCCAGTGGGCAGTGCTTTGTATACCCTGTAAAAGGGTTCAAAGCAAAGTTGCTTAAGTCAGTAGACATAATTGTGTGGTTAGTTGCCTTAGAACTAGTTGCGGGGCATTGGATTGTTGGGTACTCTTGAATAGAGTGTTGTTAATATTTATAATATTTAAGAAAGAAATCAAAAATAATTATAATCGGACTAATACTATTTCTAAGGAATCATTCTTTAGGTTTCACACACACAGCACACTTCACGGAAGCAAATTGAAACAAGTTTGAATACTCTAGTCAACATTATAAAATTCATTCAAACTTCAACTTATTGAGGGCGTGATAAAACCATATACACTTACATAGGATATAGTATATATATACGATATTATTATTCATTTGGGTACATTGGCTATACATGTAAATGATTGTACAATGATCGGTGCGCGGATCGGCCTTTGTTGTCATTTCAGTGAAATGAAAGTGCTTTCGTAAATGCACACTTTGTTTTGGTCTTTGTGCCGCCGACGAATCAATAAGAGTAATGCTATAAACCGATTAGTTGGACTGCCGTACAGATTCCCCCCCTCAAAAAAAAGAAGAAAAAAAAACTATTTAAGAATGAATAATTTGGATAAAAGAAAGTTGTGTTGATGTCTTCGCCTATAGGCCTATGCCAGCCATAATTAAATCATTGAACTGAAAATATGCGACGATACTGCGATTGACTTAAGCTGACAAACGTTATCCGTTCCAATTTCAAATGACGACAGAGTTTTAACGGCGCTGACAATATACGCCCGACATTTTATGTTTAGGCCCTTTGTCTGTTCCTACAATGGGGGACAAGAATCAACAAAGTGCTCGGCGCATGAAATAATAATTTACTTCATAAAAACAGACGTCAGCTTAATATTCGTTCGTTGAGTTCTTCGTATTTTTTGTTAAATTTTTTTTTTATTTGTTCGTCTTTTAAAATTTTGACTGTGCTACTGGTTTTTTATTCAAGACACCAGATTACGCTGCTTGTGTGGGATTGAGAGACACCTTTGTTGCCATAAGAAGTCGGCTTCGAGTTAAGCTGGAACCGTTCAATTGGTATACACACATACCACGGCAGTCGATTTTATAACTTTGTCACAATATTTCTATGGCATTTTATTTAATGCCGACATGGGCTTCAACAAAAAACCAAAAAAAAAGAAACCCCAAACTAAGAATTCAACAAATTGCTTGCTCATGTGCAAAAGTCATTTATCTGAAATCAATCAGTTGAATTTGGGTATAACAAAGTTAAAGTGAGGTAAGATGTTTACAGAAAACACAACATTTTCGATTAATTATGCTTCGTCTAATTTTGTTTTTATTTTGTTAACATCTTTTTTCAAGCCAAATTTTGAATCTTTGCTAAGCGCGAACATTTTACCTTCAAAATATGTGCAGTGAAAATATATTTTCGTCTGAATTTCAATCAAGGCTATTGTCTTGAAAAAAAAAACTACTACTTAATAAGTATTATGATAATTTTGCTGCAAAATTGCAGATTTAATATGGGTGGACTGAACTTGGTAAACAAATATGACGATAATGACACGTTATTAACAGCGGCATCGAAGGAATTTTAGACAATGCTGAGATCGGTGCAGAAATCATTTCTCAGTCGAGTTCAAAAGAGCAGGTTGCGCAAAAAAAAAGACGGCAAAATTAAACTTCCGTATTTAGCGAAGTGGAACTGCATTATTAAGTACAAATTTCAGGTGTGGTACCAAAAACTTTTAGCTTGTGATATTTGTTAGTCTCCGACAGTCAGCCGAGAAGCAAGTTGCAAGCTCGTAAAAAGTAGATGAGTTGAAAGTATATTTAAATACGTTAAATATACATTGATCAAATGACGAAAATAACAACATTGTTTCAAAGATAAAAGAGGCTTAATAACAGGGATAAAGTGCATAATAGTCGGGCTTATGCCGCAAATAAATACAGACATAAATAATACACTCTGACAAGTTAGTGTTGATGCATCCTTTCAACAAAATTACACTTCACACATATTTACTTATTACGTACATATTTTGACACGTGTGCCTGCGTAATTCAGACCACATCAGCGGTCGGCCTTTGATTTAAATTGTGTTTATGCAGCAAATTAAAAGATCAAAAGATATATATATTCCGCCGCATGAACAGCTACATTTATACATTGCATACATATGAGGACAAATTCAAAATTCTCAAGAAGGGAAGCATCCGTATTGAAGTGTCAAATGATTAAGGTAATTGTGAGAATTGCGTTTGTTGCAAAAGAAGCAAAGTGCAAGGGAATGTAAATTATATTCTACAAATTCAATGTGAATGCAAAAGAACAAATTGCTTGCCCAAATACGAAAGTCAATTATCTGAAATCAATCTGAATTTGGTTTGGATATAGTTAAACTACAAACTACATTTTCGTTGGATAATTAAGTATTATTAAATTGGTAGCACTTAAGGTTAACATAATAAGATTTTGTTAACAGCTTTTGGATGCGGTGATCAGCCATTAAAATAGTATAAAGAAAGCTAATATTCCAAAATAAAAGAGAATTATTGCACTTCTAGAAAATATTCTTGAGTGTTAAGTGTTAATACCTGCATATATCTGGAAGAAGGCCTTACAGTTCCAACTTCTTCTGCTCTTCTCCTCTTCTCTACTTGATGAAGTAACCAAGCAAAAAATAGAGCGCTTGCCAAATCGTACACCTACCAGCTGGGCACAATAATAAGGAGGAGTGCAGACCCTAACAGTTGTGGCCAGTTCGTGGAGGGAGTGCATCAGATCGTCTTTTAACAACTTGAACATGTGAATCAATAAGGCAGCCACATACATACATGAGTGTATGTGGGTGAAGCGTTTCTTGTCAGGAGGGAGTAACTACGACTACGACAGTCCTCACACCTCCACAAACTGCATCTCACACCTCTTCAGATACATATATATATATATATATATATATATATGTGTGTGTTTGAGTGTGATTGTATACATATATAAGTAAGCAAACAAGAGTCGAGCAGCATTGGAGTTACGGCAACCGAGATCGCTGTTTGCAGATAAGGCAGTTGGGATGTTTCTTATTGCATGTCGTGATTGTGTCAGTTTGTATGTTCCCACTGGCAGCACTTGCAACAACAACAACAGCAACAAGAACCAACAACAAAAATTAAGCAGCAACCAATCATTGTTAAATATATAATGCTTGCCCGTTTGTTTAAATTGAAAAGTTGTAAATTATCACAGGCACAGCATCAAAATCAAATCATTCCAATTAAATGTGAAACCATTTCGCCAATGTGAATGATATTCTTATTTATTTTGCTCAGCTCACAGCTCACAGCTCTGTGTTGCCATGTGTTGCATTTCGTGTATTTCGCTTTAAATGTGCAATTTCATTTGATTATTCAAACACTTTGATGAGCTGCACATGTAGAACATTTTAAACGTAGCCAACATAATATATATATATATCCTAAGTCAATATGATAATGTATAGAGGCAGACAGTTGTTGATGCAAAAAAAAAAAAAGGAACACAAAAAATGTATTTCACGCAAAACATGTAGTATAATGAGTTGTATACAACTACATATGTTGATTCCACCTGGGGATTGGGCATTGGGCATTGTTGACAGTGATCGCGCCACATGAGATGACGATATAGACAGAGAGTCGGCAGTCGTTAAGTGGCTGCTTACCCATATCATCGCGTTGTCTGTCAGACGAATACTATGCAGAGGTGTGCGTCAGATGCTTAATTTAAATTACTCGAGGGGCGGGACGAGAGCGATGCCTTCGAGCAGCAACATCAGCAGCACCAGCAGCCGC